ATATTTCATATTTAATTTAATATTTGATTTTGTGGTCTATTTATTATACTTTGTTTTTTTAAATTTATTTTGCAATATTTTTTATATTTACTTTCTTACATGATTTATATATATTTCATTTAGTATTTTGTTTATATTTAAAGTACTAATGGTCATTGTACTTTTGCCCTGAGTTGTTTGTGTTGTTGTTGTTTTGGTTTTCTTGCCTGCTGCATAAAAAATTAGCAAAAAATGTCTTTACTGGCGCCATTTGTCTGGTTTATCTATTCAAATCTGAATCGGTTCTGCTCTATAGATGTTGCTCGTTCTATATATACAGTTAGTTTTTGGCATAGGTTGCTCTATATACAACAAATTTGAAATGTTAAAAATAATATTTTTGAAGAAGAAATTTCTATAGTGTTTAGGTTTTTCTAGATATTTTTTTGAAAGAGCAGTGTTGCAAAACGTTTTTAGTGTTAGTGTATGTTAATATGGAACTGTCTTGTATATATTAGCACACCATCTCTTAATCCATCATTTACTTAGTTCTCCTAATTTTGATTTCGACTACTTTTTGATTTTTGAGCAAATTTGTGCATAAATGTTTTTGTTTTGAATTTTCTTATATGCTGAAGCTTCAATGTGTTTACCCCTATCTTTTCTGTAGGTTTTACTAGCACTACTATATATATATATATATATTATACCAAATCCCTTAAGCTAAGCGCACCGAACCCAGCCATAGACACACCTATGTCCAACTATCTAAGTTAAGCTGGCGACTACGATATATGTTTCGGTTATATATGTATATTTATATATCGCCTTTCTCTTCTCTATCGCTCTCCTCTGTCTCGCTCTCTCTCTTTCTGTATTCCATGCTTTGCGACTTATGTATTATGTACGTATTTAATTTTCAATTTTGTTTTTGAATTATGGTATTTTCTTTCTTTCTTTTTTTTTTGTTTTTTTTTTTGACTAAGTTAGCTTTCTTCCTTTTCCGTTTCCGTTTACGATACGTTAATGGCTTTTAAAAATTACTATTACGCATAGGAACTTTGATATTAATCACTAGAGATATAGATATATGTGTTGTTTTGGTATGTTATGCAATGTTTTATGTTTATCATTTATGGATTTATATAGAAAAATATGTTTTTAGCACACAGTGTTGCCAGCTGAAACGGACTTGTTGTTATTTGTTTATTATTTTGTTTATAGTTTGATTTGTTTGTTTGCTTATAGATCGTTTTTAGTATCGGGTTTTATGTTATACACAAAACGCATGCATTTGTGCCACAGTGGTGCAGACTCGATCTCTGCAATTGCTGTAGCTATAGCTATTGTATATAAACTTTACTTTAATGAGCTCAACTAATATGCGCACTCAGTCTTTTGTAGTTCCACTATTTTGTCTTGTCTTCTTGTCGGTTTAACTGGGCTGGGGAGGCGAATACTGCTAGCCAGCACTGTAGCCTGGTTAGAGCAATCGTAATGATGCAATGACACGAGCTGAATGAGGTGTTTTAACTGTAGATTGAAATTGGAAAAATTGAGCTTATCTTCGTATCGAATAGTTCATTGACGTTTGAACTTTCTCAAGTTCATATAAACTTTAAGCTTTATTAAATGGGCTTAATCTCATTTAGAGATTAATTTATTATTTGATGCTCTCATCAAGGCCCACACACTTTGTATGTAGTTTTAATTGGATGGTCTAGCATTTTAAGTGCCAGAGTTCATTAAAGCTTAAAGCTGCATTAAATGTGATTTGATAAACCCAACTTATTGCTGCTTAAAACTTGTATAATTTAATTATTTCATGCTCTTATTGTTTTCGGTTTATCGAAGATATTTTGTTTGCTCATCAATTCTTCCTATACGATTCTCTTTTAGTTTAATCCCAGCTTAAGCTCGTGTCATTGCACCATGTTTGGTATATGCTTTTTGAAGAAAACGGTTTTTGGGGTTTCTTTTATCTTAACTTACATACGCTGGCAACACTTAGGTGTTGTTGTTGTGATTTGTGTGTTCGGTACCTGTTGACCTCTGAGCCCTGCCTGGGCTTAGGCCGGTGTCAGCCTGAAGCTCAGTGTGGTCGACTCCGAGGCGCGCACGCGCACCGGCAGATAAACGAGCGCCGGTGCAAAGAGGCCCTCGGCATCGGCATCAGCGGGCGTCAGGTGGAAGGCCTGCATCTGGTATGCCTCCTCCGACTTGTCCGGCTGGGCATAGCTGGCCGGCTTGCCGCTGCCGTTGGCCAGATCCGCGCACAACTCGAACGGCGAGGTGGCGGCCGAACGCTGAGCCTGCAGACCGTTGGGTGTGCCCGGCTTGGAGTTGTGGCTGGGGGTCACACTGGCTGAACGGGCCTTGGGCGAGGCGGCAGGGGCGCCTGGCGAGGGCGTGGGCGTGCCTGCCTTGCTGTGGCTGCTGTTGTTGCTGTTGTTACTGTTGTTGCTGTTGTTGTTGGTGGTCAGATTTGTGGGCTCGATTTCGGAGCGTTCAGCTTTGAGGGCACGCTCCCTGCTCGGCTTGCTGCGGGCCTTGCTCTGTGCGGCGCCGAAGGCTCTCTCTCGATCCGCCTCCAGTGGAGCGTCGCTGCCATCGTTGCCTCCATTGTTGAGCAGCGCATGGGAGCGCTCGTGTATGAAGAGGAATGCGTAGTAGGGCGTGGTGAAGGGGCACAGTGAGCATTGGTATTCCTTGAAGCGTGGCGTCTGCTCGAACATGCCCGGCAAGGGCAACGGCAGCGGCATCCCTTTGGGCAACTGCATCTGGCCGAACAGCTGCTGCTGGGCATTCTGCAGCGCCTGGGCTAGATTGTTGGCAGCGCCCGCAGCACTCCCATTGGGTATCTTGAGCGTGGGACTGTTGGGCTTGCTGCTGCCGTTGTTGCTGCTGCCGATGGCCGACTGCTCCAGCTCGCGAAGTTTCTCGATGCCAGCGGCGCCGTGTTCGTTCATCAGATGCGTGCGCAGCCACTTGGAGCTGCGGAACTGTCGGGCACAGAGCGGGCAGAGCTCGTTCGATTCGCCACGCAGCGGTGTTAGGTTGATCTCCGGCTCGAGCAACTGTTGCTGCTGCTGCTGTTGCTGTTGTTGCTGCTGTTGCTGCTGCTGTTGCTGCTGCTGTTGCTGCTGCTGCTGCTGTGCCTCGACTTTCAGGCCATTTTGTGCACTGCCACGCGGCTGAGGCAGCGGAGCGCCATCCTCGATGATGCCGTGCGTATTGTGCTTGTGCACGCGCAGAAAGTATTTGCTGCAGAGCTCCTTGTTGCATATGTTGCAGACGACGCCGCCGATCTGTGCCCCGTTCTCGATCTCGATGCCGTGCATGCGCTGCATGTGGGTCTTCATGAAGTACTTGTTGCACAGCTCCTTGTTGCAGATCTCGCAGTAGCTGGACGTGGGCGTGATGGTGTAGGCGGCACGTGGTGTGCCGGGTGCCACGCCTCCAGCGGCGCCACCCGCAGCGGCAACCGTTGCACGTTCCGGCGTGTAGAAGCCCTCGCGAAGCGGACTGCTGCCGGGCAGACGACCCAGATGCACCTCGGCGATATGTTGCTTGAATTCCTGTGAGTTGGCAAAGTCGCGCTCGCACGTCTGGCAGCGCAGCTCGTTCGGGGTGGGCGTCACTGCGTTGGGGGAGCCCCCAGCGCCGCCCACTGGCGATAGCTTAAGTGGCAACTGTTGCTGCTGTTGTTGTTGCTGCTGCTGCTGTTGCTGGTAGAGCATGGGATGTCCCTCGGGCAGCAGCTGTCCGGCATGCTCCGTCATCAAGTGGGCACGCAGGGCATATTGATGCTCCAGCTCCCGGCCGCACAGGTGACAGGGCAGCGGGCGCTTGCCATTGAAGTCGTTGAGCTGCTGCAGCATCGATTGCAGCTTCTGCAGATTCTGCAGACCCACCACGGAGTTATCCAGCTTGTCCTGTGGCGGCGTCGTCTCGTCGTAGGGCTCCAGCTTGATGCGCTTGCTGGGCTGCTCCTCTAGCTGCTGCTGCTGCTGCTGCTGCAGCGGCGGCGGCTGCTGTTCGTCGTCCTGCTCGGGCTGCTGCTGCTGCTGTTGCTGCTCCTGCTCGGCAGCTGCCTTGGCCAGCATCAGATTCAGTGGCATGAATGGCCAGCCAGCGGGCATCAGCGGCTGCTCCTCCTTGCCCAGCTCCTCGGGCGGCACAAAGACGCCGTGGCGCTTCCATTTATGCGTGCGCAAGAAGTAGCGATTGGCGTACTCCTTGCAGCACAGCTCACAGAATGCCTCCGGCAGCTGAACGCCGAGACGTCGCAGCTTCTCTGGCGCCCAGTTGGAGTCGCGCGCCTGCTGCTGCAGCTGACTGGGCAGCTTGCGAGGCGGCGGCGCAAAGGCCACCTCCTCCTGCTCGAGCGTGAAGTCCTCGCGAAATCCTTCGGGCAACTGATACGGCTTCTGCTCCGGCACGGCTAAAGCTTCCGGCGTGGGCTCCTGCTTGACCGCCGTCTGTGCAGTGGCCGGCGTCTGCTCGTTGGGCGTCGGCGAGGCAGTGGGCGTGGCCTGCTCATGCTGCTTGGCGCGATGGCGACGCATGGCAAAGACGTTGGTGAAGCGCTTGGAGCAGATGTCGCAGTGCACTGCCGGTGGTGCGGGTGGTGTCAGCTGTGGTTCAGGTTTCTGTGGCGGCGGCTCACGTGGCATTTGCAACGTTGGAAAGATGGAAGCTGAGCTGCTGCTGCTGTTGTTGTTGTTGTTGTTGTTGTTGTTGATGTTGCTGATGCCAATGCTGTTGCTGTTGCTGTGGTTGTTGTTGCTGCTGCTGCTGTTGTTGTTGTTGTTGTTGCTGATGGTGCTGATATTGTTGTTGGGCGTGGTCAAGTCACCGGCGGGATCAAAGATGCCATGCTTGTTGGCCTTGTGCGTCTTCAGAAAGTATTTGTTGCAGAACTCCTTGTTGCAGAGCTCACAGTAGGCCTCCGGATTGAAGATGCGCAACGGCGGACGATTGAGTCCATCGACGCCGGCAAAGCCAGGCATGCCCAGAAGTGGCCAGCCAAGTGCAGCCTCTGGCGGAAATGCAAAAGCGGGCGGCATGCCGGGCAGCTGCTGATGCTGCTGCTGCTGTTGGTGTTGCTGCTGCTGCTGCTGCTGCTGCTGAGCCATGGCCTGTAGCCAAAGTTCATGCTCCTTGTTGTTGCCGGCATGCCCGTTGGCCAGCTCCAGCTGCTGCTGTTGCTGCTGCAGCTCCAGCTGCGAGGGACTCTCAGCGCGCTCCAGCTTCACTTTGATGGAGGCCAGCAAGTCCATGGGCTCGTCAGACGACAACTGTCGCTGCTGCTGCTGTTGTTGCTGTTGATGTTGCTGCTGTGGCTGCTGATGATCCTGCAACATGTGCAGACTGAGCTTGAACTCTGTCTCGAAGTTCTCGCCGCACTGCTTGCAGTAGGTCTGATAGGGATTAATTAGCTGCTGCTGCTGCTCTTCTTCTTGTTGCTGTTGCCGATGTCGTTGCTGTTGCTGTTGCTGTTTCTCCTCCGCTTCTGATATGTCTTCGGGCTGCAGCTTTTGCTGCTGCAACAGCTCGAATGTCTCCTTTAGCTTCTCTATGGACTTGGGCAGCAACATCTTCGACAGCTTCTCCTCGTAGTCGATTGTCGCTGGGTCCACCGGACCCGCTGTCGCAGTACCCGTTGCGGCTCCCTCCTCCTGCTCGCCGCCACTCAGATTGAGCGCCTCCAGACGACTGGGATTGTGTTGCTTGCGCCGCTTCTTGGCCGCGTCGCTGAGCGCCTCGAGCAGCTGCAGCTGCATGGCTGCTGCGTTAGCTGCTGCTGCAGCCATTGCAGCCATCGCCGTCTGATCCAGACCGCCAGCTGCCTCGCCCTCGCCCTCTCCCTCGCCTTCGCCGTCGGCCTCGGCTTCGCCCTCGACCTCATCCTCGACTGCTGCCATGTCTGTCTCATTTGTGTTGCTTCCAAGTGGCTTAGACTCCGCTTCCAGAGTGGGTGACATTGCTGTGTTTGCTGCAGTGGTTGCTGCTGCTGCTGCTGCTGCTACTGTTGCTGCTGTGGCTTCATGTGTGTGACTGTTGTTGTTGTTGTTGGTGTTGGTGCTGCTGTTGTTGCTGCTGCCGCCGCCGCGATTTGTGTTGAGTGTGGATGAGTTGGAGACATCGGAGAGCGCTGTATCCTCGCTGCTCAGATCCGGCGGTGGGGTGGCATATATGGATGCGGCCATTTTGGATGATATTACTGTGAATGGAACGAAACAAGAGGAAGAACGACAAAGCATCAGGCCAATGTACTTTAATTAAAGAAGCCCCAAAAAACTAATTGGGTGTCTAAAGTTGCGAGGAAGCTTAAGCATGCCAGCTGAATATAGTACGTGGACTACGATGGGTTTTATTGGGGTTTAACTATAACTGGTTAGTGTGGTTGGTCAAGAGAGGGGCGGGGCTGGGAGTGGGGATGGAGATGTATGTGGTGGGAGCCTACGGCATGAATATCTGGAGGCTTAAATCGTGTTAAGCTCCACCCGCTGCCCTATCCTCTCCCTCACTCTATATACATATATATCTCTCTCCCTCTCTGTTGCTGTCCTGCTCTATGCTGTAACTTCCATTCAATTTTATTTCTATTTGCCGCAAAAGTATGTTGCCAAAAATGTTGTACCTACACACACTCACACTCACACGCACACACACTCGCACAGCTGGCATACAACATTTTGTGTCTCATTTCCTTATGCGCTTAATTTCATTTTTCTTCTGCTTTTCCTTTGCGCTCTGTAATTTTTTTCTTCTTCCTTCCAGCACTTTTTCATTTTTGTGCAAATTCTATGAAAAATTTTTCCATTATGTACACAAATACATGCGCACACAGCCCATACATATATATGTACATGTATGTGTGTGTGTGTTGTATATATAGAAAAGTTTTTGTGCGCCCAGCTGCCACCCACACCCGCACACACACACACACACACACATACACCCACACTTGCAACCCCATTGCCGCACACGAAAATTTATACAAAGTCATCCGATTTAAGGAATACAAATTTTGCTTATTTTGTGTGGCCAACACACACACACACACACGATAAGTTTTTCTCCACCCACCCACACACATATACATATACACTCATGCATGTCCTGTGTAATATTTGCCAAGCAGTCTCTGCCCCCCCTCTGGACGGCCCCAACTTGAACTGCGCATAAAACTTATAAAAATTTTCTTCAACATGACTTGGTAAAATAAATTTGATTCTCAAGAAAGCAAAAGGAAGCCGACAACGACACGAAGAAGGCCCAAAAACTGGGCGGCGGGTTGCGCGGGGCTGGGAGGGGGGCAGTGGCTGACGAACAGCCAGCACAGGCTGCCATGCAACCGTCTGTGTGTCTGTATGTGTGAGTGCTTGTGTCTGTGGCAAGGGGCCAAGGCAAAGGCAAAGGCAAAAATGTCGAAATGAACCCAAAAAAGAAAAAAAGAAAGTAGAAGAAAAATAATTTTTTTTCCCTATTTTCTCGACGTGAAGGCAGAAGAAAAATATTCTCAACTATGCTGCAGACATAAATTAAGTTTCCATGGTTGGAAATTGGTTCTCTCGTAGATTTTGTTGCTGTTGTTGACTTTGCTTTTATACAATTTCAGCATTGAAGGCCCAAAACCCCTGCCCACCCAATCTACGCCCACTTTTGGTACTTTGCAGGAGTTAAGCAAAAATGCCTCCCTATATGCACATGTGTGTGTGTCGGTGTCTATGTGTACGCGTGTGTGTGTGTGGGCGGCTGACTGTGTTTGGGATTTTTATAAAGCCTAAGGTAGTTTGATGTTATTTTATTTGATTTCTTTTTTCTGCGTCTACTTAAATGAAAATGGGCAGGAGCAGAGTGTAAACAGTTCTGTATAACAGACTGAGAGGCAAGAAAATGCGTCTAATTGGCATATATAACAATGTGTTATAGATGAGTAAAGCATTATACATAAAACATATATGTACTTGTGTATGTAAACATATATATGTATATATGATTGTGAGTGTGCTTCAGATTTATATAGAAGCTAAAGCTGGCTTAAATATTGGGACATGCTACGAACTGATTGCCCAACACATTAAATATGTGATAAATCTGATAAATTTACATCAATTGGTAAATATTTCAAACTGTTATACATATACATATAATATAATGGGGCTCCCTTGGAGCAACAACACAATTTGATTCGTCTAAAATAGGAGCTTTTTTTTTACAATCAACTTAAATTACACATACAATGTTCATGCTCCTATTCTTCACCCACAACACATATATCATTTTATATAACAACTTAAGTTCGCTTAAGTAAATACTCATTGAAACATTGTACGTGAAGCTCAAGAATATATATCTCTTTTCCACACTGTATAACAGTTTAGTCTCACTTCATAACATCGCCTGAACAGACACTCCAAACCTACAGCGATCAACCTCCTTGACAACAGCGCCACAACCAGAAGGCTGAGAAGTCACCACCCACTAGATCGTGGATCAGTAACCTCTATGATCACGTACTCCAACCCACACACATACGTATCGTAATCCCGCTAATATTAAGCAAGCTCCAATGTTCACTTAATTTAATCCCCGTTTTGCAAAACAATTTACTGATTGTCGCAAAAGAATTTAAAAAAAAAGAAAAAAAAAATATAAAACTTCACAACACATACTCATTAAACTGTTATATTTCTGCAACAAAAGGCTCACTTTGCTTGCATTGAGCAAAAGCTTATCGTTTATTATCTCAATGTTCAATTGTCGTCAAGTTCTACCACGTTTCGTTCACTTTGCTATTGCACAAATTCTCGTTAAGTTCGCGCTGTTTGCCGAGTCGCTGGCGCATGCGCACTTCGCTGCTGCTGCTCGTGTCCTGCCAAGTGGCTCGCTCAATTTCAACTGTCGCATGACGCAGCAGAAACACCAAAACACAACAAAATTGATGAAAAAACCCCAAAAAAAAAAAAAAAATAAACGTCAAATCGCAGTTACAAGCGCAAAATCAAAACAGCAATAACATTGATACTAAAATCACACACATATGCACACACATGCACATATATGCACAAATGTATCAATGCACACCCCGCAGCACATTTAATAGTTTTCCCAACACACACACACACACATTCATACATAGATAGCTACCCACAGCATTTTTACCCAAAAAACCTCAATAAAACACCCCAAAATATCAAAAATCAAATAATTTCCCTTAAAAAAAATACACATACTCACACACACAGACCGACAGACACATGCAAGCGACAACTGAGCGACGCGTCGCTGCTCGGAAAACCATTATAGCTCCGCCCCTTTTTACAACTTTTCACTAACCACCACACACACACACACATGCACATACACACTCATACACACTAACACACTCTCACATTTCTAGTTGACTTTTTTTTGCCTCGTGCTCGTGCCAATTTATCATTGTTCGATAGTTTTTCAATTTGTTTTCTTTCCAGCTACTGTTGCCGTCTCTTGTTGCTGTTACTGTTGTTGTTGCCATCGAGTCGCAGTTGTTGTTATTTTAATGTATTCAGCATTCTGTGACTTTGTCACGACTTTTCTGTCGGTCGCGCCCTAAAAAGTTGCTACGCGATTTCCGATATGCTTCATTCCATGCACACTCCAATGTCTTCCATTGTATTCATATCTTTGGCGAGCGAGTGCATTTGACAAGTCTCTCTCTCCCTCTCTATCCCTCTCTCTCTTTCAGTCTTATAAATGGGCATGTGTGTGTACCGCATCTGATTGTAGCAATTGCTGCATAAGCCCCTTCCCTCTTCCTACTCTTAGGCTTTAATCTTGACACAACTCAATCTTCCATATGAAGCGATGTAATTGCCGTCTTCTTTGAAGAGTTCTGCTTATAGGGCGAGCGGGTCGGGCAGTTAAGTCTCTTTATCAAATATCTGTTGCAGCAGATAATTGAGAAGTATTTAAGCATATATATTTTCGTATTCCTTTGGTGGTTGCTAAGAACATTTTTTGTGTTATACCTGAACTCAAGTGATGTTTCGGGGCTTACATGGTTGGTAAAGAAGTCAATTAGGCTCAATTAGAAGTTATCAAAATATTGGTGTGAGGTCAACAGCAAATTTTTATGAGAGTTTTCAAGGGGCTCTTAGGTAGATATATGAAATGTTGTAATATTTAATAATCTAAGCGCTAAGTCTGTATGACTGAGGAAAATTGAAATATATAGGTAGAGTTAGTAGAAACAACTGTTGTTTGACCTTAACAATTAGTTATTCAAATTGCTTGGCAGAACTGTTTCTGATATAAATCTAAGCATCAAAACTGTTGTATTATAATTTATTATTAATTGAATGAACTGAATGTAATATTCAAGCAAATATAAATTTTTAATATACAGAAAATTACTATAAAAAAAACTCTTATTCATAAAACTGACTAAGGGATTTCATGAATAAGGAATTTTTGATCAGCGTTTGATATGAGCTGCTGACTGAACTAACAGCAAATTCACTATATATCTTTTAGTATTTTCATACTTTATTTCTTAAAACCCATTTCGGATGTGTCAGCCCCTCACCCATTTATTTCTAAGTCATAATCTATTCTTAACCAAAAAACACTTAAATAAATATTTTAAGTAAGAGAATATTTTAATGATATTCTATACTCTCGCATAAGCAATCAATAAAAATCACAACTAAATCAGAATGCTTACTCTAGGCCTAGCCCAGCTGCATTACCTAAATCAGATCGGATCGACCCACATAATACGTAACTCCCTTGACATGTATTTATAACAGGCAATGTTTGTGTTCCAATTTCTTCCCCTTACGCATTGATAGATTGATTTTGACTTTACAAGATGCTCGCTCGCTGATATATGTGCTTGCCACCCCTTTGTCACAGCCCCCCACTCTGTATGCCCAGCCGCCCCCACTCTCATTCATGTCAGGCTAACTAGACAGCACAGAAAGTGAAAGTGAAAGTGACTTCTCTGCTAGCTAGGTTCATCTCTCAGTCCGTCTGTCCGTCTGGCTGTCGGCCTGTATGTCCTCATGTTTGTCTCTCTATCTGTTGTCCTGCCATGTCCAATGCTCGCAATGCTTTCTGATTTCTGGACATGCGCAGCAAAGAGTGTGGCTCTACCTACTCCTCCTCCTCCTCCTGCTCCATACATTCAGCTCTCTCGTACGCGCTCTCAGCACCGGCTACGACTCCTTCTCT